CCAACTTGGTGTCCTCAGCAAATCCACTGAGGACCTTCCAGTCCTGCATCCAAGTCACTTATGAAGACATTCAAGAGAACTGGCACTAAGATTGGAGTCCTGTGGAACCCCTCTGGTGCCTGGTCACCAGGCTGATGTCACCCCATTTGCTGTAACCCTTTGAGATAAAAGGCTGTCAGCTCTGCAGGCTGAGGGACAGCTCCAGTGCACAGTGTGTGTGCTTTGTCTTGTTTTCAAGCTGATTTCACAGGCTACTCTAACACTTCATCACATCTTGCTGAATGGCAGCGTGTGCTGCTGGTCCCCCCATAGCTTGGTAACTTGCCCCCAGTTTTTAATGACAAATCCTGGGTAGGTTTTTGGTTCCTGGAGGTAACCTCTTCCCAGCAGGTCATACCAGAGGGAGCAGGAGGCAGTGCCTGGCAGTCCCTGAGTGTGGCACTGTGCAACTGCTCCCTGGGCAGCCTCCTCAAAGCACAACCTTTGTGTACTTTTGCCTCCTGGATTTTGCAGCAAGTTTGTATCTCGAGGCAACTCTATTGGTGCAGCTGGGACTCCAGCCAGGCACCATAAACGTTTATGCAATAACAGGGATGAAAATCCCTCTACGTCCTGCACAGCTTCCAGCTGCCTGTGTGTTGTGGGATTTGCTTGTGTGTTAGATTCCACCTTTCCCTTTGGACATGTTTATCTTGGGTTGAAAGACCAACTTGGCGTGTCTCTTCTGGCATCGGCGTTTTTGTGCCCATGTCAGCTGTGGACAAAGCACGAGGTGTGCATGAGCGGGAGGGAGGGGCCCTGGGCTTGCTGCTCTCTGCCCTCAGGGTGGGCTGTGACTCCATGTCCTCACACAGGTGTCAGCTCATTTATTTTTTATTGATACACAGTGTCATTTAGCAGCCAGATCTCAGCTATGAAGCGGCCCTGTCCTTAAATACATGCTTAGAATGTGTGCTTTTTAGACTGTATGGCTGCGAGTGAGCTTTGTGCCAGCCAGGAGGAGTATTTGAGACAGCATGCACATCAGATGTGGAATGTTCACTTGAGGGCTGCCTCATCCCTAGCTGCGTGTTCCTGCAGTGGGTGGTGTTAAAGTCTCCAGTACTTCTGTCAAGTCTGAAAGCATCCCACCCTCAGCACTGCTGCCCCTGGCCTGAGGGGTGGGACAGGCCTGATGGAATCTCAGAGTGCTTTGGACTGGGGGGGACCTTACAGTTCATCCAGTGCCACCCCCTGCCATGGGCAGGGACACCTCCCACTAGCCCAGGTTGCTCCAAGCCCCGTCCAACCTGGCCTTGGACACTTCCAGGGATGGGGCAGCCACAACTGCTCTGGGAAACCTGTGCCAGGGCCTGGACAGGACAGGCTGCAGGCACTTAACTAACCATGCCTGTTTCCTGAAGGCTTGGCAAGCTGTGCTGCTGCAGGGCTCCAGGTGTGATGGGGCCTGCTGAGGTCCTGTCAGACACCAAGTGCTGGTGCCTGCACACCTGAGTCAGCAGCCAAGAGCAGTAACGGAGCAGGGGGCTGCTGAGGAGAGTGGGTTCTGCTGTCAGTTTGGGATCAACAGTCTGGGTAGGAAAAGTGGGCTCAAGTTCAAAGAACAGGCTTAGGAAGCTGAAGAGGCTGTTTCTGCGTGGAGGGGTGCAACATTTCGGTGCGTTTCTCCCCCTGGCTTTTGCAGGTGACTAATTACTGCTTGGAGTTCGCAAACACAAATTCCTGAGCCTACTGGTGTCCCCAGCCAGCTTCCCACCATGGACCAGGACTACGAGAGACGTCTCCTACGCCAAATCAACATACAGAATGAGAACACAATGCCTTGTGTGAGTACAGATGGGCTCAGGCTCACTGTTAGGTTGTTGTCTGTCTCGCCTGTGACTGTTTTCCTTGAGCTTTTGAAAGACCTGAGGTCTCTTCAAAGCAAACCACAGTCTTTTGTTGGGTTCTGAGCAGGTGTGAGTTCCTGAGCTGTTCTAGGAATACCCAAGTAACTTGACTTCAAGAGAGCTTTTGAAAATACAACCCCAGTTCAGGTTGCAAAAAGGAGTGAAGATATTTTTATGGAGCTCAGTAAATCCCTTCTTACTACATAATCTCAGTAACTATGTGTGTAATGTAAAAAATTGGGGGCTGACAAACCAACCAGCTGGTTGACAAGAGTAAGTCCAATGTCTTTTATTCTTTGATTCAGGTAGCAGAGATGAGAAGAACCCTGACACCTTCCAATTCCCCAATGTCTTCTCCTAGTAAGCACGGTGACAGATTCATTCCCTCAAGAGCTGGGGCCAACTGGAGCATTAACTTCCACAGAATAAATGTAAGTTTTGATCCCTTCCCCTACAGCTCAGCCTTGGCACTGTGGAAATAGTGCCTTTTGTTTGGGCTGGCATGATTGCTCTGCTTATCTTCTGCACCATGGGCTTCTGCTGCCCCAGGAGAGTTCGTTTGAGTGCATGTCCTTAAACCCTGTGCTCCAGGAGCCTTCTGGATTTGCTGTTTTACCATAAATCCTGAGGTTTCTGTATGGTGATGGCATGTTTTCTCCATTTCAGGAAAATGAAAAATCACCAAGCCAAAACAGAAAAGCAAAGGATGCTACATCAGACAATGGCAAAGGTGAGAGCCCCCATCTGCTGCTTGAGCCATGCCCAGAGCTCTTACTGCACAATGTTTGGGAGCTTGGAAATTAAGACTGCACTGACACTTTCATCCTTATGCCAAAACTCGTGCTGCTGTTTTGGGAAAGGCCCACATCATGAGTGAATACCAGCTCACTGCTTCTGATGAGTGTCTGGGAGGCAAGAGGCTGTTTGTATCCCATGGTTTACTGTGCCAGGGAAGCACTTTCCTGATGAGGGGGAAGGAGGGAAAGCTTACTGCTAATCTGGCTTCTAAGCAAGGGCCCCAGGCTTATTGAGAGGCTCTGTGAGTGTACAAGCCATAGAATCATGGAATGGGTTGGGTTGGAAGGGACCTTAAACCTCATCTTATTCCACCCCCTGCCATGGGCAGGGACACCTTCCACTAGCCCAGATGGCTCCAAGCCCCATCCAACCTGGCCTTGGACACTTCCAGGGATGGGGCAGCCACAGCTTCTCTGGGCAACCTGTGCCAGGGTCTCCCCACCCTCACAGCCAAGAATTCCTTCCCAGTCTCCCATCTAACCCTGCCCTCTGGCAGTGGGAAGCCATTGCTCCTTGTCCTATCCCTCCAGGCCCTTGTCCAAACTCCCCCTCCAGCTCTCTTGGAGGCCCTTTAAGCACTGGAATGGGCTCTAAGGTCTCCTTGGAGCCTTCTCTCCTCCAGGTCAGGCAGACATGATCCTGGCTCTCCCTGCAGAGCTGTTGCTGCTCGGAGCTCTCTGCTCAGTGCTCGTTTGGGTTCACAGATGGCCTGGCCTACTCTGCCCTGCTGAAGAATGAACTCTTGGGAGCAGGGATCGAGAAGGTGCAGGACCCTCAGACAGAGGACAGGAGGCTGCAGCCATCCACCCCAGAGAAGAAGTCTCTCTTCACTGTAAGTCACTTACTTGCACTAAAAGCAGTGCAGTTGCACCGTGGGTCACAGGAACGGAGCACACGGCCCTGCCAGGCTGCTTGTGCAGTGAGTTGGTGCTGGGGCTTGGCTGAGATAAGCTGTTGATAACAAATTTGGTGGCCTCTGAGCACCTGAACGTGCAGCAAACAGTGTGCTTCCTGTGTGTGTGCTGGCAGGAAAGCTGGGTGGGGCTTTTTGGACAGAGTGGTGAATGATCAAATCAGGCTTTTTGGAATTCAGGGGAGGTGAGGGGAGGTATGCAGTTTTGGAGCGCCTGAGAGAGGGAAGAACTGAGAAATCTGGGCAATCTGACTGGGTGTTAGAGTTGGATTGGCACCAGTGCACGGGGGAGTGATGCCCCAGGCCTCAGGGTGCTTAGGAGGTGTGTTTTCTTCGTGCAGTACTCGCTCAGCGCAAAACGCTCCAGCCCCGATGATGGCAACGAGGTCTCACCCTATTCCCTGTCTCCTGTCAGCAACAAAAGGTAACACTGATCCTCCACAGAAGGGAGGGGCTGGGGCAGAGGGTTCAGCAAGGTTCTTGTAGAGCTTTTCTCTGAGACACCCAGAATTGCAAGGTGAATTGGATTTGGAAATCTGGAGAGAGATAATAAATAGGGACAGTTGAATTCTAAGGCAGGTGCCCAACCTGCCTGTGTGCTTAACGTGTCTTGGCCAACTCTTAGTAATCAGTTTATCTTTTTGCTCCCTTTGTAGGAGCAGAACCTGATTCCTTCCAGTCTTGCTGCTGGAAAGAATTGTGCAGCCTCTTTGTCCCTGCATTTCTGTAGAAATGTTGTAAAGAGTGGCTGCACCTGTGCCTCCCATCTGCTGTGGTGTGCAGGATCCTGTAGTTGTTTTTCTGTCTGTTTTTGTAAACAGTCAGAAGCTGCTAAGATCACCTCGGAAACCAACTCGGAAAATCTCCAAGATTCCTTTCAAAGTGCTGGATGCCCCAGAGCTGCAGGATGACTTCTACCTGAACCTGGTGGACTGGTCCTCTCTTAATGTCCTCAGTGTTGGCCTTGGGACTTGTGTTTACCTGTGGAGTGCTTGTACAAGTCAGGTAAATGGTCATCACTGAGAAGGGAAGTACCTGTTGCTGTAGGGCTTTTCCAGCCTTCCAGAGCTATGGAATGTGCCCTGTGAGGGGTTCAGCACTTGTCATGCTCTGTGCCAAACGAGGTACTGCTTTGTGAGACAGCCAGTAGTGCTGTGTGACAAAACCACGTGTTTCTTACCCCATTCTGTCCTCTCTGAAGGTGACCCGGCTGTGTGACCTCTCTGTGGAAGGAGATTCCGTGACATCCGTGGGCTGGTCAGAACGGGTCAGTATGGCACTGTCAGCAGGGACAGCTGAGACACTTCTCACTTAGGCACTGTCATCATAGCCATGATTAACTCCTTGGCTTATTCTCCTGAATTCCCCCAAGCTCCCTCTGTACATCACCAATCATATGTGTTTTTCTGTCAACACTGTTTTTCTCTGCTAAAAGAGAGGGGTTAGAGAACAGCCTCTTTTATCTCGAGGTTCTCAAGGCATTGCTAAGAGGAGTGGGAGGGAGAAAAAGCCAGATCTTCTCCAGCTCTTGACAATAAAATGTTACAATAAATATATTCCAGCCAGGCTGCATGGGCCTCTCAGCAGGGAAAAAACATGTAAGATGGAAGAACTCTGGATGCTTTCCCTCTCGTGGGATTTATCTCAAGTCTTTTCCCGCAGCTTCCAGCTTGTTTTCTGGCTGTACTTCCTGGCTGTACTGATGCTGGCTCTCTGTTTGTCCAGGGGAACTTGGTGGCTGTTGGCACTCACAAGGGCTTTGTACAGATCTGGGATGCAGCTGCAGGAAAGAAGCTCTCCATGCTGGAGGGGCACACAGCCAGAGTCGGTAAGGAGGGGGAAGGCAGAGGGTTCATAGGGTCTGTTCCTTCCTGATTGAACTTTGTTAACCAAGGATCTGCTGGAAATAGAAAACTTGGAATACCAGAGTTAATATTTATCCCCTGCTGTGTCTTGAGCAGTCTTGAAAATATTATAGTCTCATAACAATGGTGTTCTGATCTGGGTGTGATGGTTGCAAGCCATGGGTTTGGGTGTTGCAAGCAGGTGTTTTCTCCGTGTCTGAGGCTTTTTGGGTTTGGTTGCAACATCCTTTCACTGCCACTGCCTTCCGGTTGCAGTCCTGCTGGCAGCTTCTCACTGAGATTTCCAGTTCCCTTTTTCAGGGGGGGGGCTGTTTGGGGCTTTTTTCTGCTCCGAGCTGTTGTGAAACTGGACTCTGGGATGAGATTTGGGAAATCCAGGCACTTCCTGAGATCTGTCCCTGTGCTTTACTGCACTGTGAAATGGGGTTGGTGATTCCTGCAGTCAGCCTGTGCAGGTGAATCTTTCTTTGTGCACGGATCTAGGACTGGATGTAGGGGAGATCTGTAAGGTTTGGGACGGGGTTTCCTTTGTTTTGGGGTTTTTTTTATCCCTTGGCAACTGTGGTGGTTGCATTCTGCTTACCTGCTATGGTAGGGCTTGAGAGGTTGGGCTTGATATTTTCTCCAGCAAGACGAGGGCAGTGGCTGTCCCCTCAAATCCTGGGGACAGTTCCAGGCCACTCACAGCAGGAAAGGCATTGAGGGACTGGAGCGTGTCCAGAGAAGGGAACAGAGCTGGGGAAGGGTCTGGAGCACCAGGAGCAGCTGAGGGAGCTGGGGAGGCTCAGCCTGGAGAAAAGGAGGCTCAGGGGAAACCTTCCACTCTCTCCAACTCCCTGACAGGAGGAGAGAGCTGGGGGGGGTGTGTGTCAAGCTCTGCTCCCAGGGAACAAGGGATAGGACAAAGTGAAACAGCCTCAAGTTGTGCCAGGGGAGGTTCAGGCTGTATATTAGGGAAATTTCTTCGTGGGAAGGGTTGTAAAGCAATTGGCACAGGCTGCCCAAGGCAGTGGTGGAGTCACCGTCCCTGGGAGTGTTCAAACAACGTGTGGCTGTGGCATGTGGGGACCTGGTTAGTGGTGAACGTGGTGGTGCTGCACTGACAGCTGGACCTGATGATCTTAGAGGTCTTTTCCAACCCCGATGACTCTGTGATTCCATGACTCCCACAACACAGTCTGAAGCTGTGCCCACGTTGCAGGTGCCCTGGCATGGAATGCAGACCAGCTCTCCTCAGGGAGCCGGGACAGGATGATCCTGCAGCGGGACATCCGCACCCCGCCCCTGCAGTCCGAGCGCCGGCTCCAGGGACACAGGCAGGAGGTCTGTGGGCTCAAATGGTCCACGGATCACCAGCTCCTGGCCTCTGGAGGGAATGATAATAAGGTACAGTCACGGGAAATCTCAGGACCACCCTTTCTTTTTAGGACAAGGGGAAATGGCCTTAAGTTGCACCAAGGGAGGTTCAAGTTGGATGTTAGGAAAAATTTCTTCACTGAAGGAGGGGTTAAACATCAGAACAGGCTGCCCGGGTCAGTGGTGGAGTCACCATCCCTGGAAGTGTTGAAAAATATGTGGATGTGGCACTTTACAATATGGTTTAGTGGGCCTGGTGGGATCAGGTTAAAGATTAGACTTCACCTTGAAGGTCTTTTCCAATTCTAATGATTCTGGGATTCTTTAAGGATGTTTGGCCTCTCTGAAAGGGGCTTTTGTTTTGGTTGTTGGAGTGTGACCAACATAAATCATGCTAAGCTTCTATTCAGTCTTCTCTTCCTAATAAAATTTAAAAAGCAAATTTAATTTGCTTCTGTATGTGGCTAATTAAATCTCTAGCTTGACTCTGGGGCTTGAATTCAGTAAAGTCACTGCTAAGCTGCCCTTCCTGACTTCGTTCAGGCAGTGTATGGTCACGTTTGTTGCAGTAATGTTTGTGTGCAGAAGGAACCTGAGGCTGAGCTCTGTGAGTTCTCCTACCTGTAACACAGGCTTGTAGCTCACTGAGCACCATATGGGAGAAGCATCTGTCATGGAGAAGCAGCGTTCCAAGCCCTTTGGAGTGGGTTGCTAGGTAGGGAATGTGCCCATTGCCTGTGTGACAGCATGGTTGGACTGAGTTCCTCCTGCTCAGAATAACTCCTAATGAACTGAGTGGATTTCTAGATGCATTCTGGAATGATACACCCAAAAAAACAACAGAAGAGTCCGAGGTTCCAGTCAGGGATGCTGTCTTTGGCTCTGTGCACTTCCCTTAGGGATTGTTCCCTGCCTCATGGCCTAGGGGTAGAATGGCTCCTCAGCTGAATGTAGTGGCTGGATGGGACTGGCACAGGTTTCCCAGAGCAGCTGTGGCTGCCCCATCCCTGGAAGTGTCCAAGGCCAGGTTGGACGGGGCTTGGAGCAACCTGGGCTAGTGGAAGGTGTCCCTGTCCATGGCAGGGGTGGAACTG